ATTAAGATAAATGCGAAATTTTTATTTTAAATTGTGAAACAATTTGCGTTAAATATAGTAACATGTATAAATAGTATTCATACATTCAGCGGAATTTATAAAGCGGGGGGTGTTCTGGACACCCCACGCGAGTAATGAAGTGCTATCTATAGATGTACGGAAAGAGATTTTGCTGAAGTATCCAAAACTTTAGACTTGAGAGAGAGAGAGAGAGAGAGAGAGAGAGAGAGAGAGAGAGAGAAAGAGAGATCTGAAGATAATTTTATTGGACTATCTAAATTATATAATATATTGAGTATTCATTATTGAATACTCAAACAGATTGCTAAAATGTCAAAGCTTTTTGCAGTATTATTATTATACTTGAGTGTCCCTACATAATTATTTTGATTAGTCCAACATCATTATTTTCACATCTTTATCTGGCTAAATTTTTAAATATTTGAGCAAAAATTTTCTTTCCGTGTGTTAAACTCAAAAACATTTGGGTCTTAGATCTAACACGTGGTAGATCAATACGCACAATTTTCACTCGCAATGGCGTTCTTAGGCTGCGTGTGATAATGACGCACTTTGAACGATCGCTTTATTGTACGCAGCTCGACAACACAATCGTAGAATCACATCGCTCGACCAGTCGCAGATTCACGGCAACTCGAACAACTAGATCTTAATTACAGCGTGGAAGCGACAGTGCGCTGATTTTGTTTAATTGGTGCACATTGTTGCCTAAGTCCCGTCAATTTTTGATAGATCCGATAGATCCGTCTAAACTTTTTTTCTAATCATAAAACTATCTTGTATTTTATCAATCCAAGGAAAATCGCGGTCCATTCAGATATAATCCACAGTACATAGTCTTTTTAAAAATCTTTTTACGAGGCGATAATAATTATTATATTTTTCGAGGTGTTGCGAATTGAAATCATTTTCTCACACTTTCCATAATAAACGCACAACATTATTGCGTTTACTACAAAAAAGTCGCACTTGCTCACTTTACATCTAGGTAATAGATAAAAAATATAATTGCAATTTATAAATGCATGCGACAAACGTACATAAATACTATTTCAACAATATTTACAATTCTTAAATCGCGAAAACATACTATAAAACAAAACGCTTAGAAACGCTGTATAAAATAATATTACCATATATACGATGGCACCGGATCTCGCAGACTTTTCAAAAAGTGCAACTTGCAAAACACGAATAATTTATGCAAGTTAATTTCTCATTGCGCAATATAATATTTTAGCGATATACACTATTTTAGAAAGATTCTCTGGACTTTATTCGTAACTACCTTTTCATCTACGTATGCTAATTATGCGAGCTAATCACATTTCCGTTCCGTCATATCATACGAGTGTCATCTCTTCCAAATTCGACCCGAATGCTCGAAATGATTGCATTTCCTTCGCTCAGAAGTTAATCGCAATCGTCGGAATAGCAAAGAGATATTATTTCTGCGTTTCAGAGCGCTTTATATTAAACATTATTTAACGACGAAACTTTCCGAGCTGAAACTTGCAATTCTGATGACGGCATGCTAAAGATGTAATCGACGTACGCCAGACGTCGCGGTTTTTCAAGTTATATAAAATGCGGTATGATGGATGCGCTTGTTATTGATCCGTCGGCTCTGTTGCCGAGCGATCGTAGTTCATTTTTTTTTTTTTATGATTATTGTGAGTCGAGATCGTGATTCAATCACGATATAAAGTTAATTGAATAATATAATTACTATCATCGCGATTAACTTACATTTAAAAGACTGTATGTTTTATTTTGTCACAATTTACTTGTCATTCAGTATATTGAGGTATACTTTAACTCTAAGGCTCAAAAGTTATTCACGTAATATTCTAAATATCTACGGTGATCGTTCGTTGCGACTTAATAGTATAAATTATCATTTGATTTATTCTGCGAAGCGTCAGGAAAATTTTAGGACGATTACAACGGCAACAGAGCGGAAAGATAGCTTTGCGAAGCTTTTACACGCACCTCTGCGTTGTGCGACGCGATGAGAGAGAGAGAGAAGAGGTCTTTGGCTTGCGCGGTGAATATATAATATACATATTTTCCAAGATTCGAAAGAGAGCGAATATATATATATATATATATATTCA